TTTTTGGTAGTGATGGGGTCTCACTCTTGCTTAGGCTGGTCTTGAACTCCTGACCTCAAGCGATCCTCCTGCCTCAGCCTCCCAGAGTGCTATAATTACAGACATGAGCTACAATGCCTGGCCTGGTACTGTGGTGTTTTGAGGGAGAAATAGGAATGCTCTGGCTGAGGGAAGAAATTGTGACATTGCAAGGAATCCAGAATAGCCAAAGCAATGTTGAAAAAGAATAAAGTTGGAAGACTCATACTTCCTCATTTCAAAGATTACTACAAATCTACAATAATCAAAACGGTGTGGTACTGGCCTAAGGACAGATACATATAGATCAATGGAATAGAGTGAGAGTCCAGAAACAACCCATACATCAATGGTTAACTGATTTTTGGCAAGGGTGTCCAGCCCATCTAGTGGGAAAAGAATAGTCTTTTTAACAAACGATGCTAGGGAAGCTGAATATCTACATGCAAAAAAATGGAGTTGAATCCTAACCTCATACCATATACAAAATTAATTCAAAATAGATTGATGACTTAAATGTAAGAGCTAAGAGTATAAAACTATAAAACTCATAGCAGAAAGCACAGAGTAAATCTTTATGATTTTGGACTAGGTAAGGTATCTCAGACATGATACCAAAAGCACAAGCACACACACACACACACACAAATATATATATATATATATATATATATAAATCTGAGTACAGAAAATCAAAGGACATTATCAAGAAAGTGAAAAGACAACCCACAGAAAATACTTGTGAATCTCATATCTGACAAGGAGTCTAGTATGCAGACTTTGAAAAGAACTTTTACAACTCAACAACAGAAAGACAAATAACCTAATTTTAACATAGGCAAAGAATTTAATTGGCATTTCTTCAAAGAAGATATACAAATTGCCAATGAACACATGAAAAGATGCTTAAGATCTTAGTCATCAGGGAAATGCAAATTGAAACCACAAAGAGATACCACTTCATTCTCACAGGAGTGGCTATAATTTAAAAAAATGGAAAATACATGTTGGTGAAGATGTGGAGAAATGAGAACGCTCATACTTTGCTGGTGAGAATGTAAAATGAATGGCACAGTCACTCTGGAAAACGGTTTGGCATTTCCTCAAAATGTGAAATTTAAAGTTACCACATGACTCAGCAGTTCCATTCCTAGGTATATACTGAAGAGAACTGAAAACACATGTCCACCCAAAAATTATACACAAATGTACATAGCATTATTCAAAATAGTTAAAAAATGGAAATAACTCAAACATCCATCAACTGATGAATGGATAAACAAAATGTGGTATATCCATGTAATGGAATATTATCCAGCCATAAAAAGGTATGAAGTACTGATATGTGATATTCATGGATGAACCTTGAAAATACTATGCAAAGTGAAGGAAGCCAGGCCCAAAAGGCCACATATTGTATGATATGTGAATGTGCAGAATAGGCAAATCCCTAGAGACAGAAAGTAGATTAATGGTTGTCAAGGGAGTGGGGAATGACTGCTAATATAAGTATTAGAGTTTCTTTTTGGGGTGATAAAGATGTTCCAGAATTAGACTGTGGTGGTGGCTGCACAACCTTGTGAATACACCGACAATCACGAAAGTGTACACTTAGAAAGGGTTAATTTTGTGGTATGCAAATTATACCTCAATTTTTAAAAAGATGGGCAGACATTTGAAGTGGATCTTTTTTTTTTTAGGAGACAGAGTCTCGCTCTGTCACCCAGGCTAGAGTGCCATGGTGTCAGCCTACCTCACAGCAACCTCAAACTCCTGGGTTCAAGCGATCCTCCTGCCTTAGCCTCCTACGTAGCTGAGACTACAAGCACATTACATCATGCCTGGCTATTTTTTTCTATTTTTAGTAGAGACAGGGTCTCTTGCTCAGGCTGGTCTCAAACTCCTGAGCTCAAGCAAGCCTCCTGCCTAGGTCTCCCAGAGTGCTAGGATTACAGGCATGAGCCACCATACCTGGCCTGAACTGGATCTTAAAGGATATGCTCATTGGGTAGACAATAGTGGGAAGAAAAAATAAAATGAGAAAAGGCATGGAAGTCACAAAAGAGCGATGTACATCCAGGGAAGCGAAAATGGCTCTGAGGCTGGAGTATAGGGTGTGGCAGAAACTGAGCTAGCAATGTAGTGAAGGGACAATTATGAAAGCCCTACATGCCAACCAAGGAGGAGGCCATGGGGTACTTCCAATGAGAATGAGATCTCCTCCAGGAGAATGATATAACCAATTGCCTGGCTCAGTCCCTCTTGGCAAGCCCAACACTCATTCTTCTTATCATGTATAAAATACATTTATTTAAAGCACTGATTATTCTGTTTTCTCCCCAGCTGAGTAGAAACTCCTTGGGGACAGCCTTGTTTCCAATCTTGACTATGTCAGTCCAAATGGAGTAGCCTATGGAATTCCTAAGATGTTGAATGACATTGGCGATTTCAACATAACTCTGAACTTTTCTAACTTCACAAACCTTTGCTCACATTGTCACCCTGTTTGAAATGCCCTCCCAATCACAAATTCATTTAAAACTCTGCCCTGGTCTATTTCAAATGCCATTTCCTTATGAAGGCTTTCCTTCCCCCTCCCCTAGATTTGAACTCTCGCCTCTTTTAAAGAGGGTATATTATATACTTTTCTTACAGTACTGATTTCCTCATACCTTACATTATAGGTATCTGGGCATTCCTCTCATCTCACACATCTCTTGCCCCTCACCTACTGGAATCTAAACGCCTTGGCATAAATGGTCTACACCTTTCCAAGCCTTGCAACTCCCAGCACTGTGCTGGGTAGAGTCTAAATTCAACTGTTCAACTAGTGGCAAAAATGATAGAATCAGAGACAGAAATACTCATTATCCTAGAAGAAACTACACAAAACAGGATGCAGGCACAAATAACAGAGAGCATATGTTGAATCAATTTGTGACCACTTGGCTTGTTTATTTCCATCACATGGATTTCATTTTGCTAGAACTCCAGAAGACTCAGACAAAAGTAATGGCCTCCCAGCTGCTGTGTTCCCAAGTCTGTGGTTTTCTTATGATATAAACAAAAGATTCTGGAGTTATGGTCTCTGTTAATATTTGCTGGTGTGGGTCTGGGGGAGAAATGGATGGTGGGGTGGGGTAGGGGGAGGTATGAGAGAAGTCCACCTAATGAACCAGCGGTTCATATAAGCAACACCTGGAGTGTTAAACCCTCTCCAACTGTTATTTTATTGAAAAAAAAAAAATTCCATTCTTCCTTCAGTAAATGTAAAAATTCTTTTGCCAGCTGCATTCCAATCTAAAGTGTGTGGCAGTTCAGGAGAGATGGCAGCTGGAACAGATCACATTCAGGATGTAGAGAATGCTTACCAGCAGCGAGGGGATAATCAGAGCCTGCAAAATGAATCCTCAGAGCCATGTTCCTCTAAGAAAATGGATTAGCCTTGATTTGCCTGCTTGCAGTGTTCTGCCTATAAATGCTGGGAATACTAGAAATGTCTGTCAGCATCTGATTGGTGAAAGGATCAGCCTTTTGAATAGAAAATTGTGACATCAGCTATTTCAGGACTTCCCACTCCGATTCATAAGACCCCAAAGCCTAAGTTTTGGTTTTAATTCTATTTTTGTTAAATATTTACAATCTACTGCAAAACCAAATTCAGACCAAATGTCTGCTTGCACAACCTTGTGACACAGCCACTTCTCCTGACAAGAGGGAAAAAGATTTATTTATTGAGCACTTGTTATGTGACTGGCATCAGACCAGTCACTTTCTTCATGTTCCACCCTCACAACGACTCCAAGAGGCAGATATCCACATTTCACAGGAGATACGTGGGCCCTGATGATGTAACTTGGACCCAGACAGGTTAAGTCATTTGCTCAACACCCCCAAAGGAGAAACTGGAAGAAGTAGCTCTGTCTTACTCCAAAGTCAGCGTTCTTTCCACTGCCCTCTGATATTGGTTAGGACGCCCCAGAGAAGTTCTTTCTCCAGAATCTGCAAGAATGCTACAAGAGCCTATGACTCTAGAATAGGTGTTGGCAAACTTTCTCTGTAAAGGGCCAGATAGTAAATATTTTCCTATTTTTTTAAGCTCGGTAGGCTATATGGCCTCAATTACTTAGTTCCCCACTGTAGCACAAAAGCAGCCATAGATAATATGTAAATGAATGAACATGGTTGTGTTCTGATAAAACTTTATTTACAAAAACAGGCAGTGGGCCAGATTTGGTCCACAGGCTATAGTTTGCCAACCCCTGCTCTGGAAGGTTCTAGGGTGGGCAGCTTCATGTCATTCAGTCTTAGAAATCAATAAAGAATTGCCCCTTTCTAGCTAAATTAACATACATGACAGTCTTCTACATTTAAGACACTATGAGAGATAAAGAGCAGTATAGGACATGGTCCATACACTTAAGGAATTTATAATACATTCTTTTGGGAAGAAAAGGCACAGGCACATAAAATCCAAAAATAGCAACACAAGATAGTACCTGGTAAGTGCCAAAGGAGGGGACTTGAGGGCCAAGGGCTGACTGATGGGCCACCACGATATTAGAAAACCAGAGTCCACAACCTGATCAAATCATCTTGCATTGGCACCAGAGCTCAGCAAGAGTCGGAAAAACCTCTCAGTGGGCAAGAATCAAGAATGAGTCAGAAGTTACAGCCTTAAGCGCTAACAAAAACATCCATTCTGGCGAGACCACACTAAGGTTTTTAGCATGTGTCAGATGCTAATCAAAGACATCTCCTTTAGACTCAGCAAATACATTTTCTCCCAGTCTCATTCTGAAAGGACAAGCAATTGACCTCAGGTACAAGATAAACTGAGTGCTTTAGGGACCCCACGAGGTCTTTCCATTCTCCTCTCCGCTGATACGGAAGAGCCTGAAGAAGCCACAGGCGAGGGCCCATAGAAACCATCTAGGGCCACGCTTGGAAGCCTAGTAAGGAGCCGTTTCTCAACACTTTACCTTGCTCATGGCAGTCAGGGCAGGGTCGCAGGCAGCATCCAGATCCTGCACCAACAGCTGAATGCTGCTGGAGATGACACTGCAGATCAAACAACATACTGTGGTCACGACTTACAAAAATGACTGTTTAAATGACTGACACAGCCCCTTATAAATGTTTTAGGCCCCCTGTAAAAATTAGGTTCATCATTTCATCAGAAAAGCTCAAGCTTTAATTAATGACAGTGGAGGAGAAGTGTGGCTCTTTCCTCATGTCCTGGTCTTATCTGGGTGTGCCCCATCTCATCAGGACACAAAATTCCATGGCTAGTCTCACTGATCGCCACCCCAAGAACCCCTCTTCACATCATCCTCCAAAAGTACCTATTTCCAAAAAACATTTAATTCAGAACTGAAGGGGAAAAAAAGTTAAGCAAAGGGGAAGAAATAAACTAGAAGAGAATTTCGATTTTTCCTCAATAAGTGGTTGATATCACAGCTGAAGCTTGGCCCATGCCTATTTCATTTAATAGCAGTGGAACGGAAACTGACGGCAACAAAAATATTACAAGGTAGTAACAGGGAAAGAAATATTCCAAGAAGGCTTTATTGTTTGAACTTCTTGGTCAGACACCCTCACCCCTCAAACACACACACACACACACACACACACACACGCACGTGCACATACACACTCTTACATCCCCAATGGTTAAAACCAGGCCATTTACACTTCATATTCTGAAACACTGGAGGTGGGCCTGGCCCTCCGTGGATTTAGGTGGGGGCAGATCAGACATGGACAAGGGAGAATGTCTTCTCTTCAGTTATTCTAGATAGTGCAACAATAAAGATGCTATAAGCCAAAAGCATGATTGCATCTGAGGAGGCAGAATGGAAGGCAGCTGCACTAATTCTAATGCTGCTTCTTAGGGGCTACTGGAGAATAATTCAGACCCAACAGAAAGCCCTGGAAACCTCTTAGGTTCTGCAGTGACTAAAGCCAACAGCCTGAGACATGCCACTTGGTAAAGGAGAAAGGGCAGGCCTTGAGCAAATACACGCAAGGTACATACGTGCTGAAGGTGTCCATTTCTCCAGTCAGATTGATTCGTTCAATCAGACTTACATCAACTTTTTCTTTGAGTTTTTCCTCGAGCTGTTAGAAAATGAAACAGAAACAGGCTTAATGATTATTCAAAAGAGTACCATAATAGCAATAGTTAACCTGTACTGAGTTTGGTGATTCAGGCATAATTCTAGACATGTTTCATGTATTGACTCATTTAATTCTCACAACCCTACGGGGAAGATTCTATTATTATCCTCATTTTATGGATGAGAAAATGGAGGATGAGCCTACCCAAGACAGTCAGTGATAGGGCCAGGAGTCAAACTTCCTTCAACCTGTATCCTTTAGCACTGTGCTATAGGTGTTTCTTGACACATTTATAATTCATGTCATTAATTTTGAAAAGACCCTGATTTTAAGATATTCTCTGCACCACGAACTGCAGACTTGCCCATTAACACTGGAAATCTTTGGTGTAAGGGGCAGTAAAACCAGCTAAACTATTGAGTGCTATAAAGCTATAGACCCAGCACCTTGCTGAGGTGTTGGAGATACAGAGGTAAACAAAATGAATGTGGTCCCTGCCTTCATTAGCCTACGGTTTAAGATAGAAACACTCAATGTGCTCCTACAGCCTCAAAGAAAAATACCATTGGACCAGAAATTATAAATACCCAAAAACATCCCTGCTAATTGATTCATCATCACTCTTAAACCTATTATGCAAACTCTAAGAATAACTAATGTTTTGTCTTAAATTTTTAAAATGCTCTTAGGGGTGTGTAAATTGTGTAACTTTTTTAGAAGGCAATTTATTGAAACACCAAAGATTTAAATATACGTACTCTTTAAATCACCAATTCACATCTAGAAATACATTTCAATGAAATAATAACGTACAAAGATATATGAATACTCCATGCAGCATTCATCAATTCAACCACTATTTACCGAAAGCCTACTTTGCGCCTGGCTGTGTAACAGAGTAAGGGAGCTGTTCAGTGAACAAAACAGGTAAGATCCTGTTCTCACAAAGCTCACATTCTAGTGCTGTTTTGCATTAGTGAAAAACTGGAAACAATGTCCATGTGTGTCTACAAACGATTGATGAAACAAATTATGGCACAGGCTCATAATGCTCAAACTCTTGAGAGGCCTTTTCCCATGACACTGAAAATAAAATCCAGACTTTCTAACCATGATCTGGGTCCTGTCTAGCTCTCTGGCCCCATCTTCCTACTTTCTACTTTGCCTGCTAGGGTTTGGTGACACTGGCCTCTTACGTTTCTGGGACACACCAGGGTCCTCCTCCCTCAGGACCTTCATCCTTCACACTTCCTACTTCCTCTCCCTGAAGTGCGTCCCACTCACCCTCCCAGCCAGCTCCCTCACGTCCCAGCCCTTCCCGGCTCCTGCCTCAGTTGTCTCCTTCGCAGCACTCAGGTCTCGGCTTCAGTGTCACCTCCTCAGAGGCCCTTTTTGGCCACTCTCCTTCAGTGGGCAACTCCCTCATTCTAACATGGCCACACCTGTTCCTTCCTCACACCTCAAACATGAAGTTACATCTTGGCTGGCTTGTTTATTATCTGGCTTCCCTATTAGTTCTAAGTTCCATGCCAGAAAGCAACTTGTCTACTCCATTCACCACTGTTAATTAACACTGTTAATTAGCCTCGTACTTAATAAGTGCTTAATAAAGATCTCTTGAAAGAAGAAAAGAATGAATGGAACACCCCATGCAGGTGTTAAAAATGCTGAGGTAATAGTGACATGGAAAGATGCCCGTGATTTAGGTAAAACAGAACAATGTTGCTTTGTTGTAGAACGGTATATAGAGTATGGGCCCATTTTTATTTAAAAAGATAAAAAAAAAATGTTTGGAAGGATACACATTTTTAATAGTGGTTAGTAGTGGGTTTTGAAGGTGTGAGATTATGGGTAACTTTCATCCTTTAGGTGTATGTTTCTGTAATATTTGAAACTTTTTAGGAGTGTATATAACTTATACTATTATATTTAACAGGAAAATTTCACACATTTACAAAAATACAGTACAATGTACCAAGCCAGTGTCATCAATTGCCATTACATAGCAAGTCTTGTTTCATTTACAGTCTCACCTACTCTGCCACATCTTGAATTATTTTGAAGCAAATCCTAGACATTCTATCATTTCATCTGTACATTTTCATATGTATCTCTAAAAGATAGGTACTCCTAAAAAATCATAACCATACCATTATTAGACCTACAAAAATGAACAATAATTCTTTAACATCAATCATCACATATCTAGTCAGTGATCATATTTCCCTCATTGTCTTACAATTTTTTTTCTTTTTTTGAGACAGGCCTCACTTGGGCTAGAGTGCAGTGGTGTCATCATAGCTCACAGCAACCTCAAACTTCTGGGCTCAAGCGATCCTCCTGCCTCAGCCTCCTGAGTAGCTGGGACTACAGGCATGTGCTACCACACCTAGCTAATTTTTAAATTTTTTGTAGACACAGTGTCTTGTTATGTTGCCCAGGCTGGTCTTGAGCTCCTGGGCTCAAGTGCTCCTCCTGCTTTGGCCCCCCAAAGTGTTGGGATTATAGGTGTGAGCCACTGTGCCTGGCCTGTCTTACGATTTTTTAAATACTTTGTTTTAATTAGGATCCAAATAAAGATCATATATGGCAATTGGTTGATATGTCTCTTAAGTCTTTTTTACAAAAATGAAATATAATTAACATATTCAAAATGTAGAAATCTTTAGTGTTTAGTTGGATGAGTTTTGACCATCATATACACCTATGTAATTACCAATAATAACAAGATAGAGAACATTTCCCTCCCTCTAGAAAGTTTCCTCATGTTCTTTTTCCCCTTTCCAATCAACCCTATCCTCATCCCCACTATCTGATTTCTATCGCCACAGATCAGTTTTGCCTGTACAATATTTGAATGTTATATACGGTAGTCCCTTATCCATGGTTTTGCTTTCCAAGGTTGCACTTACCCATGATCAACCATGAAAATACTAAATAGAAAATTCCAGAAATATGTCCATCTATCCATACTGTATACACTATGCCCTTGTTATTGTATAGGAAAAAACACAGTGTACTATATGCAGGATTCTGTACTAGCCTGTAATTTCAGGCATCCACTGGGGTTCTTGGAATGTATCCTCCATGGGTAAGGGGGGAGCACTATAAATGCAATCATATAGTATGCACTCTTTGATGTTTGGCTTCTTCTGTTTAACATAATATTTTTTAGATTCACTCATGTTGCTGCGTATGTCAGTAGTTCAGTCTCCGACTGAGTAGCAGTCCATTGTATGGATATACCACAACTTGTTTATCCATTCACCTGTTGAGGGACATTTAGATTGCTTCCAATTTGGGGCTGTTCTGAATGGGGCTACTATAAACATCCCTGTATGTGTCTCTTTGTGGTTATGCTTTTATTCATCTTGGGAAAATATCTGGGAATGGAATTCCTGGGTCATAAGGTTTTATAAGAAACAGCCAAACTGCTTTCCATTTCCAAAATGGTTATACTATTTCATGTTCCTGTCACCAATGTATATAAGAATTCCAGTTGTTCTATATCCTTGTTAATATTTATTTATTTAGAGACAGAGTCTCACTCTGTTGCCTGGGCTAGAGTGCCATGATATCAGCCTGGCTCACAGCAACCTCAAACTCCTGGGCTCAAGTGATCCTTCTACCTCAGCCTCCTGAGTAGCTGGGACCACAGGCATGCACCACCATGCCCGGCTAACTTTTTCTTATATATTTTTAGTTGTCCAGCTAATTTCTTTCTATTTTTAGTAGAGATGGGGTCTCGCTCTTGCTCAGGCTGGCCTCGAACTCTTGAGCTCAAACGATCCCAGAGTGCTAGGATTACACCCCTGGCCTATGTCCCTGTCAATATTGATGGTGTTATTCTTTTTGAGTTTATAGTCATTCTAATAGCTATGGCTCTCAGTTTTAATTTGCATTTCCCTGATGACTAATAATATTGAGCATCTTTTCCTTTGCTTAGTGAACATTTGTGTATCTTCTTTTGTGAAATGTCTTTTCAAGTCTTTCGCCCATTTTAAATTGTAGTTTGCCTTTTTAGAATTATTAGGAGTTATTTATATATACTGGGTACAAATCCTTATCAGTTATATGTGATGCAAGTTTTTTTTCCCAGTCTATGGCTTATCTATTTTCTTAATGTAGTCTTTTGATAAGCAGAATATTTTACTTTTGATGAAGTCCAATTTATTTAATTTTGTGTGTGTGTGTGTGTGTGAGTGGTACTTTTTATACACTGACCAAGGAATCTTTGCCTACTCAAGGTTGTGAAGATCTATGTTTTTCTTCTGGAAGCTTTGTGGTTCTAGGCTTTATATTTCAGTCTATGATGCATCTTGAATTTTTGGATATGGTAAGAGGCAGGGGTTGAGGTTGTTAATATGTATAATCTACTGTTACCACCATGATCATTAAAATGGTTTTCTTTTCTCTATTTAATTGACTTGGCATCTTTGTGGAAAGTCAATTAACCATATACATGTGAGTCTATTTCTAGATTCCCTATTCTGTTTCACTAATTTACTTGCCTATGATTACACTAGTGCAACACTGTATTAATTACCATAGCTTTATGGTAAATTTTTAAATCAGGTAGTTTAAGTCACTCAACTTTTTTCTTCTTTTTCAAAATTGTTTGGTTACTGGATCCTTTACATTTCTCTGTAAATTTTTCTTACGTCTTTCTTCAAAATAGCCTGTTGGAATTTTGGTAAGGGATTGTGTTGAATCTATCATTTTATAGAAAATGGACATCATAACAACAAAGCCTTTCAATCCATGAACATGGTATACCGCTTCATTTATTCATGTCTTTAATTTCACTCAGCAACATTTTGTATCTTCAAAGTAGAGGTCTTGCATGTCTATTTTAGCTCTGTTTTGTGTTGCTATAACTGTTGCTAAAATAGTTTATTTGGCTCATAGTTCTGTAGGCTGGAAAGGTCAAGACTAGGTAACCACATCTGGTGGCTTCTGATTAGGGCTTCACAATGCATTAAAAATGGTGGAGAAATGGAAGGATAACCGAGAATGTGTGAAAACAGCAAACATAAGAGGCAGTGTCACTTTATAACAACCTGCTTTTGCAGTAACTAATCCAGTTCCATGAAAACTAATCCATTTCCAAGATAACTTATCCAGTCTTGCAAGAAAACATTAATCCATCTTAACAACCTAATCACCTCTTAAAGTCACCACCTCCCAACACTGCCACATTGGTGACCAAGCCTCAGTATGAGATTTGGTGGGGATAAACCATATTCAAACCATAGCAGTGTCCTTCTTTGGATTTATTATTAGAAACCTGATGCATTTTAGCTCGTTTTGTGTTGTTATAACAGAATACCACAGACTGGGTAATTTATAAAGAAAATAAATTTGTTTCTCATAGTTCTGGAGGCTAGGAAGTCTAATATCAAGGCGCCAGCATCTGGTGAGGGCCTTTTTACTATGTCTTCCCATGGCAGAAGGCAAGAGAGTGAGGGAGGGCAAAAGAGACAGGAAGGGGGCCAACTGATTCTTATATCAGAACCCATTCCTGTGATGACTAACCCATTCCTGAGATAATGGCATTAACCATTCATGAGGGCTTTGCCCTCATGACCTAATCACCTCTTAAAGGTCCCACCTTTCAACACTGTTGCATTGAGGATTAAGTTTCCAACAAATGACCTTTGGGAGACACATTCAAACTATAGCATGATGTTTTAAATTGCTATTATAAATAGTACTTTAAAAAAATAAACTATATTTTTCAGGACAGTTTTAGATTTATAGAAAATTGCAAAGATAGTTCAGATAGTTCCCATATACTACATACCCATTTTCTCACATTATTATTAACAATGTGACATATTTGTTACAATTAATGAGCCAATATTGATATATTACTGACACTGGTTTTTAAATTTTATTTTTCAATTCTTTGTTGCTCAGATTCTTAAGTCTCTTTGGTTTCTTTCTCTATTTCTCTTTGCTCCTCTACAATTTTTTCTTAAAGAAATTAAGTTCTTAAGCCAGGTGCGGTAGCGCACACCTAAAATCCTAGCACTCTGGGAGGCCAAGGCAGGAGGATTACTTGAGCTCTGGAGTTTGAGACCAGCCTTAACAAGAGACCCTGAGTCTACTAAAAAAAGAAAAAATTAGCCGTGCGTCATGGCGCACCCCTGTAGTCCCAGCTACTCGGGAGGCTGAGGCAGGAAGGTCACTTGAGCCCAGGAATTTGAGGTTGTAGTATGATGATGCCACCGCACTCTACCTGGGGGAACAGAGCGAGACCCTGTCTCAACAAACAAACAAAAAAAGGAACCAAAAAACCCGAAACTATTAATAGGTTCTTTGCCCCTGTAGATCTTCCCACAGTTTGGATTTTGCTGATTGCATCCACAGGTATTAATTGGCATTTTCCTCTGTCCCTTGCATTTCCCGTAAATTGGTAGGTAGGTATAGAAGCCTAATCTGATTCAGGTTCTTTTTCCAAAAAAGTACTTCATTAATGGTGCTATGTGCTTCTATCAGGAGATACATACTATTTACTTGTCTCTCCTTTTGTGATGTCAGCAGCCATTGATGCTCAAAACCCAGATCTATTATTCCATTAGATATTCTAATTTTCTTTTCTTCTTCACTTATTAACTAAACTTCTGCTATAAACACACACTTCCCACTGCAAATGATCTGGTTATCCTGCGGTACATATCACATAGGAAAGGCAAGGTAAGAACTTTCATTTACCAGTTGTAATTCATATCAGTCGCTCCTCAGCATCTTCAAAGGCAATAAATGAATTAAGAAAAATCTTTACAACAAAATGGATTTAAACATATTTCATGTTTTCAATCCATTGTAGTTAATATTCTCCTGGATATCAAGTAATGTTTATATGTACTATATCTGACCAGTAGAGTTTATTCAGGTTGGCTCCTACATTAGTTTCTTAGGGCTGCTATAACAAATTATCACAAACTTGGTGGTTTAAAAGAATAGAAATTTATTCTCTCATAGTTCTGGAAGCTAGAAGTCTGAACTCAAGGTATGGGCAGGGTTGGTTGCTTCCGGAGGTTCTGAGAAAGAAATTGTTCCATGCCTCTCTTCTAGCTTCTGGTGTTTTCTGACAATCTCTGATGTTGCTTGCCTTGTAGTGTCACTCCAATCTCTGCCTCTATCTTCACGTGGCACTCTTCCCTTTGTGTATTAAATTTTTTTCTCTTTTCTAAGGACAACAGTCATTAGATAAGGGCCATCCAAAGCCCAGGATGACCTCATCTTGAAATACTTAATTACATTTGCAAAGACCACATTTCCAAATAAGGTCACATTTGTAGGTACTAGGGCCTAGGACTTGGAAATATTTAAGGGGAGGGCACAATTCAACCCACTATAGTTTCTGAGTCTTTTGAGATGACACAATGTCTTTGATGTTTTTCTTGCTTTTTGTATGACATGATGTTCTATGTTCATCTTGTACATTTCCTGACCTAGATCTGGAATTAGTCATTTCTCCAGGAATCTCTGGTTCTTTTTAGTGGAAAATGGTACTTAGAGATCACAATATAGGTGCTAAGCATGTATTTACTTTTATAATCAATAAAAATAATTTTCACTAAATAAAAGTACCCACACATACTTCCAGAATTTCTAAAGAATCTATTCTAGAAAAATAATGCAAATCATTTAAGATGCTATATTCAAAAAGACATACTTTGTAGGATTATTTATAAAACCAAAAATTTGAAGCAGCATAAAAAATCACCAGAGATGCTGCTAAATAATTTCTGATATAGTCCCTTAATGGAATATTATATGGCTATAAACAATGATTTAATAGACATTTAGCAACAGAAAAAAAGCTAATGCTATGACACTAATAACAATAAAAGGATATAAAAGTCAATTAAGATTATAACACACAGAACTATGTTTATGAAAAACGATTGAAAAAAATACTCTCAATTGCTATTATGATTATCTGAGGGTGATTAAGAACGATTATTTTTATTTTGGGGGGGGCTATGGTTATTTTACTTTTAAAATACCATGTTTGTATGTATCTATGTCTTTTTGCGCGCCCGCACACACACACACACAGTTAAACAATGATTCTTCAAACAATGATTCTTCAAAGTACTCTGGGACCCCTGCCTTGGAAGCCCTCAAAGATATTGCTGTCCTGCCCTGGGGGTCCTTGGGGCTAACTGGATTACTGCCTCTAACTCCAAGGCCAAACCTTTATATAACTCAAAGTGACCAGATCCCCAAGGAGAGCATGCTGCTGTCTCTGCCTCTGGCTGGCTTGCCCTCAGCTGTGGAGCTCTTGCAGGCAAACTTCCTATCCAGCAGCCTCCTATATTCTCACCCCGACTCACAAAAGCTCCAAGTTGTACTGTCTGAACTATCATTTATGATTGTCTTCCTATGATCTAAAAGTGTGTAAATAATAAACACAAAGAGGGTGGAAGAGCTGAACTGTCCCAAATTATTTTCTTCCTCTTGACCTTAGGTGACTCCCAGACCAAATGTGAAAAGGAACTTTTAATCCCATGTCTAAGGCTGAATGGAAAGTTATTCTGGGTCTTCCTTCTGCTAAATCAGTTTGCCAAACTATTGCCATTTGGGGGGCTCTAGGAGAGGCATCATTCCTTCCTGCTTCCCAGCTTCTGAACGTCAGCATCCCAAACAATGGTTGTTTGTTTGGGCAGATTAAGAATGCCACGTAAATAGGAGACACATAAAAGCCCAAAGGATTTTGCTTAGCTTAGTAACACATCTGAGAATGGAATAACTGCCAGTGACTCACTGCCACCAGAGGCTGGGTCCCAGTACCATCTAGTTTCTTACTGATTTTCTCATATGGGAGACAGTGCTACTGACCTACTTTCAAGAGGTCATGCCCTCTCTGAGTGGCTTACACAACTCCAGGGAGGAGACCAGTCATACTTTCTTGCCCCGTCTCCTTTTAACAAGGCCCTTCTGTAAGACAGCTGCCTGGGCAGTCTTCTGGCTGGACAGTGAGTTTTCCTCAGTGGGAGGCCAACTGGTCTACCCAAGGTTGTATGTGGCCTAGTTAGGTGCTTATACTCTTACTTACTGAGCTATGTGGCTCAGATAGTTCAGGGAAAGGAGGTGGTGAGGGGGCAGCCGGGACAGCTCACCTGCTGGGTGGTGGCCAGACAGTACTCTGCTGTGCTCAGGATGCTGCAGATGAGGCAGAGCTCCTCTAGGGTGAACTTGGCTACTTCTGAGCCCTCCTTTTCCTTGAGGAGGCTGCTGATGGTCAGCCCTCCACTGCTGGTTGTGGTTCTAAGGAAAAGGAACAGGAACTAGTCAGGCTAGAACTTCTAATTTGCTTCCTGAACTGGAAACTGCACATTTTAAGACAAAGAAAAGGGGGAAGGAAAGGCTGGACATGGCCCAAATTAAACCATATACAATGAATTCTTTTCCTTTTGACCTCACCTTGACTACCCTCTGTTTAGATCCTCTCACCATCAGAAATAGGAAGGGGCGATTCCAAGAGTCAGCCAGTAATTAGTTACATTGACTATGATCTGATACTCGCAGAGAAGGCTGCTGAGCCGCCTCTCTCTTTAGCTTGGAATTTCCTGATATGTGGAACTCATTTAGGATCGACTGTAGCACAAAAGCTAGCTCCACAACTGTTATTCTCAGTTAAGAAAAGTCTGCATGGGAATTTATATGTGTGCTTGTGGAGGAGGACATAAGTGAATGTTAACACATGGTTCCTGCCCAAGGCCCTAATTGCTTCAAGAGACCAAAACGCACTGCACATCCTCTTATGACTATGGATTTTTGAGGGTAGCCCTAGCTCCCAAATGAGTTCTAAGGTAGTAACAATTACCCACTAGTATTTGCATGCCTCAGAGTCCTCTGTTGGTTCCTTTCACCTTGCCCCCATTTCTTTAAATAGTCTCTTTACCGACAAGATCCCAGCCGAGTATGCCATTCATTTCCTGTTGGGACTCTAACACACATGGGAAAATGTCAAGGATGATGTTAAGTGAAAGTACCAGGTTATAAAATGACAAGCAGAATAGTCTCAATTTTGTTAAACAGAAGCACATATATCATACATATTATGTATGTGTATATATATGAATAAAAAATGGAAAATTATATACCAAGAAGTTAAAGAAGTTTTCTCTGGGTGGTGAGATTGCATATGATTTTTATTTTCTTCTTTGGGCTTGTCTGTGTTTTCTAAGCTATAATAAACTTATATTATCTTGATAATCAGGGCAAAAGTTATTAAAAATTTTTAAATAATTTTTATCACAGTCAAAGAAGTTCTCATTAGTAAAACATACCTGTCACTTCATATCTCCCAGAGAACATAGGATTTTATCTTCTTTCTTCCGAAAAATGTAAAACTCCCATATATGACATATTTTAGTGACAATGACAGAAATTAATGCTAGAACTGTTAAAATTGTTTTGGGGATGATTTGGAAATACTAAATTTAGAAGCATTACTTTAGGTCATATTCTATTACAGTTAAAATTGCTATATAACCAAAACATCTCTAAAATCCTAGTTGAGTGACCCACTTATTTCAAGTAATAAGCAATCCAACAATATTCTAATGTCCCAGAATAATACAGTAGAGTCATCAAAATTAGGAGCTGTGCTATGCAATGCCCTCTGCCCAAATCCTATGGCATCTTTAAACATTAGGCTCTGTCCAGCACAGCAAGTGCATATACCATAAGAGAGACTTGGGAACCTAACCAGCCTGAGAGAAGAGCAGATTCATTCCTCATGTCTAATTAGGCACAGTCTCATTGAATGAGGCTTGAATGAAATTGCTTATGCTACTTAATAGTTATTTCTACCATAACTGTATTTTTTTTTGCCAAGTACCTATAGTTGAATCCATGTCAATTAGATACAGATATAATAGGATTGATTCCCTTGAGTCTACTGCAGTAAGATTTGACCTACAATGGCAGCCAGTATGGGCATTTCCTCTAATGGTCTTGATCAGCTGTGGAATGTCATTAGAGAGGAAATAGTTGCAGACCCTTGGGAACTCAGTAACAGTGCTTTCCTCCCCTGATGCTCTTAGTAGTTCAGTAAACAACCTCAGAGTGGATTTCCTTAAAGATTCCCATATTTAGGTATATCTGGATCTAACTTCACTGCTCAGACCACGAAGAACAGGACTCACTTGGGCAGGTTGCCAGAGAGGATTTTCCAGGCGTATTCTCGGAGGTACTTCTGGAAGATGGTGGTCAGAGCGATCATTGGCTCCCCCGTACTGAGCTGAGAGCACTGCACCATGCACTTCTTGTAGTAGACAAAAAGGTCAGCACAGCTGGGGAGCACGGCACCGCCTTCGTCAGTGTTGGGCTTAGGTGGCCCCTGGGCTTTGAAATCAGCCACGAACCGATCTATCAGTTCTCCAAGGTTCCTAGGAAAAAGAAAACCTAAAATATTAGTTTACTTCAAGAAAGATAAAGCTAATGTGTTTTGCAATGTACATAAATTACTGACACAAATAATCATGCCTAATGCTTTTAAAACTGGATTCATTTTTATCAATATCATCATCATTCACCACCACCACCACTCCTACAATAACAGCAGCAATAACATTTGGCATTTATGTGTTGTTTTATAAATTTTTACCATTATCACATTTGACCTAAAACTCTCTGAGTAAGACAGGATATTACTAGCCCCTCTAAAAGATGAGAAAATTAAGTCCTAGAAAGTTTATCACACAATTTAGTGGCAGAGCTGAGCCTAGAATCTACCATTTAAGTAGGCATACTGGTCCTACTACCATATTAGACCATTTCCCTTTTCCGCAAATGGAAACCCTAAATAATAATTTAGGGTCCTAAATGGACCCTAAATTATGTGGAATGTCATTAGAGGTGATCATTTTATGAGCACCATCTCATCCAACTTTATTTACTTCTCACAATAACCTTTTGAAGTAGGTACTACTCCTATCCTCATTTTCAAAGAGTTAGGTAGAGAAAAGTTAAGTGCCTTGTCCAAAGTCATACAGCAAGAAAGTGGGAGAGCCAGGACCCACAACCAAGCAGCCTAGCTCTAAGCCTCATGCTTTTAACCACTTTACTTCCTAAAACACAAAGTTTATGAAGTCAGAAAATATTTAGACATTATGAACCTGTGTCCAAGACAGATGACCAAACAAAGGGAGTCTGTAAAAAATATTCCAATTCTTTCCTTCTCCTTTAATGTGTTTTTATTTTCTTAGAATGTCCAGAATCAAAGGTGTAAAAAAGTCTTAGGAAAAGAGAGGGTATGAGCAGTTACAGGCTTGTCCCAGGCATGGTGGGGATGATGGTTATGTTTTTCTCCCATTTCCCATTCAAACATCCCTGAATTTGTCTCAGTCACATTGAGTCACCAACGGTTAGAATCCAAAAGGGCTGTAGTAATTGCTCTTTACACAGCTGGGCGGTGTGAAAATGGGAGGAGTAGCCACCACCCTTAACATTTTGCATCTTTTCAGGTTGCTATGTAGGGATACAGGAATCCAGCTGTGTTTTAAAAATGTATTTATATAATAGTCAGGGAGAAAAAGACAAGAAACACACACACCATGAACGAGCAGGAATAGGAGAAAACTGGCATTCTTCTCAAGAGCTTTTGTTACTGAAAGTTTATTATATCCAGATGTGGCCACTCTGCCCTTAAAGAACTTCAGACCTAGGCTAGGTCTTTGTCCGTGTTGATGGTCAGAAAGCGGGGGGAAGGATCTCATTAGTTGACCTTGGAAAGCTTCATAGTCACCGCCCCTATTTCTCACAACCTCTCTTCCCCTCACTTTTCCATCGAATCTCCCGCCTCTTCCCCACAGCTGACCCCACACTCCAGCCAGAGTCGCCTCTCAAAGGCTCCACCTCCTCCTGGGCCGTTGCCTGTACGCCTCCCTGGCCAACACACTCTCCGGCCACCTCCCTACTTACCCTAGCTTGGCTCATCTCACCCACACAATGTGAACTCATACCAAGCCTATCTCTCAGTTGGGACTTCTACCATCTGTCACTCCCTGATGCTTTTTTTTTTTTTTTTAATTTTACTATGCAACGTAAGGACATAATGTACTCAAGAAACATGCCAACCTTCTCCCATCCTGGGCCCACAGCAGGCAGTGCTAATTAACAACGACCCCCCCTTTTCACTGATCTTTCTTTTAATTCTGGAATCCTTCTTGAGACAGTCCTCCAGCCAGTCACCTCTAATAAGCTCAAGTTAGTACCAAAGGTGAAAGGAGACTCTTCTGTTGCCTGTGTGTTATCATAAGCTCCCTGAGAACAAGAATGATGTTTATGCCACTTCTGCTGCCCCCCGGGCTCCCCTCATGCCCACGTGTGGGGTGAATCTTCATGCCGGTGACCCATTCACACTTAGCTGATCAATCTCCACACTCTGTTCCTAAGGGATGGGAATGGAGGGCTGGGAAAGTGGAGATGAGATGGGGGCTGGTGCAGTGGAAGAGAACATGTAACAGAAGGCAAAGATTCCACCAGTCTTCTTATGAGAGATTCTAATCTCTGAAACAACAGTGCCAACCAAAACAGGGCCCAGAGCTCTGAAGTGTTTTTGCTTTAATTACTCATCTATTCCCCTAGAAGATGGATACTTCCCCTTCCTATTTCAGAGCCAACCCAGTGAGTAAGATCATAAATTAATTATGATCATAGAGCATAAAAAAAATTTCCACTTTAAAAACCTCTAAAGAGCTACATTTTGCAGAATGTCTATTGGGTTACTTTTGACATCGTTCTCTAGAGTGGATGAGAAATAAAACAGTCAGGGAGACCTTCCTTCCTCTTCCATCTTCCACTTTGCATCAGCATTCACTACCACATAAGACATTAGGAAATAAGTCATCAGTGTTTCACAGAAGAGTACAAGTTACCCCAATGGGAATGGGTAAGGTTCATTAGCTTTGGACAGATGATCCAATCCAACCAAATACTGGTTGAGCACTTACTATGTGGAAGGCTCAGTGGGCTCTAAGTATAAGATGCAAATGAATTCAACTTAAAAAAAAAAAAGGTTGTGATTTCTTCCAGGCACTAAACACTACCCTGAGTTTTGACAAGATCTTTTTGCTTGACTACTGGAGAAAGGGCTGTACAGCACAATGACCTGCGGAATGGAATTATAAGGAGGTGCTTTCTAGGCCCTAAAGCAAGTATAATCGAGTATTTATAAAGGGTCAAGTCCTGAGCTAGGTGCTGCAGGGGTTAAGACACGATCTCTGCCCATTTGAAGGTTTAGACCTATTTGGGGAGATTGGCCCTACATATTTATAATATATAGATTTCAAGACAGCAACAAAATGCTAATTTTGTAGTACAGACAATACGAACAATCTGGTTTAGACAAAGGAAATAACAGAGGAAGCTCGAGAGAAAGTTCTGCAGCAGATTCGGGTGAGAGAATAAAAGCACAAGGCAGAAGTGAGCCCAGCATGTCTGTGTGAGGAAGAGAAGATGGGAAGGGGAGAGAGGTTTGGATGAAGTAGGAGATACAAACTGAGAAAATTCTGACCTTCAGTTTGATTTATGTACTCTTCTGTATTCCCATACCAAACTAGTCATACCACCATCCCTTAATGCTGTGTACCACAGTCTTTTCACTCTCTCTCTTCCCCACCAGGCTGCAAGCCTGTAAACTAGGCACTGTGCTGGGTGCGTTATAAATGCAATCCCATTTAATCCTCACAACAGCCCTGAGTAGAAGGCATTGTTATCCCCACTTTATAGATGAACACACTAAAGTTGAGAATATGAAGCATTCCCCAAGGTCACAGAATTTATTGGAGTTGGGATCTGAACTTGGGTCTGACCCAACCTCTATCCACTATACCGTGATCTAATTTCGAAGCTGTAAAGCACTACACAGTTATATGGTTATTACTGCTATCATTTACTTTCCCTTCAACTTAAAGAAACATGTCATAGATGTGTGGTTTCTTTTACCCTCTTCCCTACAGCTTGAGTTTTGTACCCAAGAACTATATAAGTCTTTTAGGGTGGCATGTGAAGTGCTGTTGGGAGTTCCACTGATAAATTATATGCACTATGAATAAAGATGATGGTTGAGTGGTATCAGTAGACATAAATGTTAAAATGAAGAAAAAGAAAATCTCACTGCAGACTGGGCTTACCCATGGATGACCAAGGCAGTTTCTTCTGCTTGATCTGCAATCAGCATTTGTAGGAAAATATTCTAATTGGAAAGTAAGGTAGTGAGGCATCGGAAGAGGAAGACAGTAGTCAGAAGAGCAGCAAGGGAGGTAAGCAAGAACAAAGCAGCTTAAGAGCCCCAGAAAGTTATAGAACTTGTTGACTCAAGGATACTCACGCTAATTTTTATCCCTTCCACTTCCCTTTTTCTTGGAGCTGAGGACTGGGCTTTGGTGTGGCCAGTGAGGTTGGAGCGCCAAGGTTTGGCTTGCCTCAGTTACATTGAGGCAAATGGAGCAAATAAGTAAACATACTGAGGATATTTATTGGGAGCCAAGTTCCTTGCTGTTGTAGAGGGTAGTTACCAACATGGAAAGGAGGAGGCTAAAATAAACCCTGTGGTGTTAGATTAGAATTGGAGTTATCAGCGTAAACTCATGGGTTTTAATACACGAATAGGTATAAAAATAGATACAGATGCATGTGAAGTGTATATTATGTGAATGTTTATACATACATAGATAATCTTCTTAGCTCCCTCAGCCAGAGGACCTAGAAGCAATGACACCTGAGCAGCAATGAGCACACCTGATGCCCAGAACCTGGTTTCTAAATAGCATTCTCCACCAAATGAACAAGGGATCCTTGAGAAAACAGAAGACTCCAGAGCTGGGTTATGAAAGCACAAGATAAGCCTGGCATATTTGCTTGTGCCAGAGAGGAAGGATGTGCTCAAAAAATGAGAGGGGCAAGTGAAAAGGGTGAAGAATTGGCTTAAAGAGGCTCCTACTGACCAAATCAATGACAATTTGAGCATTAAAATAAATAATGATGGATCCTGGAAGAACAAAAGGACATTAGTGGAAAAACTGGTGAAATTCAATGCTCTGGAGATTAGTAAATAGTGTTGTACCAATGTTAACTTGCTAGTTTTGATAACTCTTCTGGGATTATATAAGATGTTAACATTAGGGGAAGCGGGGTGAAGGAACATGGGAAATTTGTACTATTTGTGAAATTTTTCTATAGATATAAATTTATTCCAATATAAAATAGAAAGAAAAAAGATAGTAATGCTTATAACCTATTGAATCCACAAGTCTATGCTGATATCTACATAGCCACATATATATATGTATGTATGTATACATGAGAAGTGAAAGCTTTTTCTTAAAGTAGAATGCCAACTAATAAAGGCAGAAGAAATGATGGAGTTAGAAAAATCACCATTTGT